TACAAGAAACAATGGGGGATATAGCTACTAGTCAAACTGAGACAAAGAAGAGTAAGTTTGTATGTTAGTACTGGCCAAACACCTCAATACATTATCTGATGCATATACATGTACTTATGCTGTGTAGAAAGTTTGAGCTGATTCCGATCAAATTTGGATATTTTACAAATTTGTAAAGTTGCTCCAAAATCGGCTCAAAGCCCCTGTACTATAGTACACGGTCTCAGGCCAAATTTTTCCAAAAATTAAAAGGAGAGAATTCTCCATTTTTATTACATTTCTTGATACATATACATGTACTTATGCTGCATAGAAAATTTGAGCTGATTCCGATCAAATTTGGAATTTTTACGAGCTTTTAAAGTTTCTCTAAAATTGGGTCAAAGTCCCTGTACTATAGTACATGGTCTCGGGCCAAATTTCGCCAAAAATGAAAAGGAGAGAATTCTCCATTTTTATTACATTTCCTGATACATATACATGTACTTATGCTGCATAGAAATTTGAGCTAATTCCGATCAAATTTGGAATTTTTACGAGCTTTTAAAGTTTCTCTAAAATTGGGTCAAAGTCCCTGTACTATAGTACACGGTCTCGGGCCAAATTTTGCCAAAAATGAAAAGTAGAGAATTTTCCATTTTTATTACATTTCCTGATACATATACATGTACTTATGCTGCGTAGAAATTTTGAGCTGATTCTGATCAAATTTGGATTTTTTACGAATTTTTAAAGTTGCTCCAAAATCAGACCAAAGTCCCTGTACTATTATAGTACATGGTCTCGGGCCAAATTTTGCCAAAAATGAAAAGTAAAAAATTCTTCATTTTTATTACATTTCCTGATACATATACATGTTTTTATGCTGCATAGAAAGTTTGAGCTGATTCCGATCAAATTTAGATTTTTTACAAATTTTTAAAGTTGCTCCAAAATCGGGTCGAAGTCCCTGTACTATAGTACATGGTCTCGGGCTAATTTTTGCCAAAAAGGAAAAGGAGAGCATTCTCCATTTTTGTTACATTTCCTGATGCATATACATGTACTTATGTTGCGTAGAAAGTTTGAGCTGGTTCAGATCAAATTTGGATTTTTTAATGAATTTTATGAAGTTTTAAAGTTGCTTTAATGCATATAGGATGTAATATTAATGTTATTACTTAATTCCAGTTAATTAATATAATATTAATAGTAATATAACTAGTAATTAATATAATTATCATTGTATTATTATGTACCATATAGTGGAAAATTTTCATGACCCAAAAATTTCGCAGATCTCTTAAAAAATCAATTTTGTGGTTTTAATTTTTGGTTATCTACTTTTCGGCCATCTTGAATTGTATTGAATTGATTTTTGCGAATTTTATTTTTGTGAATTATTTTTAAAAATGTAAAATCCACAAAATTTTTGAGACATGAAAATTTTCCGCTATATGGTAATTGACTCATTATGTTATTAATAATAAAGTAATTGCTAGATATAGTGGGATTTATTGATGAAGGTTTTATTTTGACGAATTGGCAATTAAAAATAAAACATCAAATTTTATAATCGTCAAAAATTTTGTACTTTGTGCCGTGTGTACGCAAAGGGCACTATTCGTCAAATTAAAACTTACCAACCAGGGAAATTTACTGTTTTCGTCAAATTTTTTACTCGTCAATAAATCCCGCTATACGGTATATTGTGACTAATGATCACCTAATGATCAGTGAGTAACTGAAGTATTGAATTATAATCCCCAGGGGGTCTACTTCAGTAATTAGTACCAGACCCCTTGTTCCTAAATTTCAATTATTCATACCCATTATCAATGATACAGTATTGGACCTCATTCATTGTATGTTAGTCCTCACTAAATCAATTAATGTTTAACATAATGTCACCTCCTCCACATTATAATGAGACACACATTAACTGATACAATAATGACTATGCTTATGCTCTATATTTTATCAAGCTTGATTGATCTTCACCTGTTACATGTAGATTTCTTGCATTATTGTCAACTGTGGTCTTATTATCAGCAAAGGTTAGGTATTCATGTAATTGTCAAGTAGTGGAAGTGAAGTTTATGTGTACTCATCTCTCTTTCTCTTCTCTCCTTTCTCCTATTATCATCTCATTATTTGAAATTTGGCCCCTGTACCATAGTACGCATTCTTGAGCAACTTTAATATGGTCTATAGTATCACTGGGTACTACTGTATAGCGCTTTAATTTTGCGGATTGATAAAAATCAATTTTTCACGGAAATAACTTTTGCGGATTCGCAATGTTAGTGCCACACCTTTAATGGCAATTGAAATATTAGCAGATCTTTAATTTCGCGGTTTCATGCTAACCGCGAAAATAGCAAAAGTTTAGCTCCTCCAAAATAAAGCGCTATACGGTATATATTCTATTTTTAACTCTCTCTGACTCTCTTTTTCTATCATATGCAGATTAGTTCAAATTATAGTGGGACTCTTCCCTGGTCAGGGGTTGGGTCTCAGTATTGTTGGTGGGCGTGGCTCTCCCACTGGGGACGTACCCATTTATGTAAAGAGGATCCTACCTGAGTCAGTGTTACAGAAAGACTCAGAGATAAAGACTGGAGATGAACTGGTAGCAGTTAATGATTTAATAATACATAATGTAACTAAGGACTATGCTACTGAAGCTCTTACTAATGTACAGGGAGCAGTGAGACTACTACTGATACAGGACCTATGAATGATATGATATCTGGAGACTGTATTGAATGAATGAATCTATTGATTGGTCTCTTTATTTCTTTCTCTTCTTTATTTCTTTTACTCTTGTGTTTTATTTCTTTTTTGTCTGTTTCTGTCTTGGTTTTTGTGTTTTTTATTTACTATTTAAACAAGCGTAACAGGGTAAAAAATATTCCTATAATTGATTTCACTACCTTGCAAGTACAACTTGGTCATTATTAAGACTTATAGAGGTTCTCTCTACCTATAATG